AAAGAGTTATACAATATTGAACTCAGTATAAGCCCTGTAAGACATAAAATTGAATGAGTTTCTAAACTTGAAAAAAAGATCTCCATTTCATTTTTTAAAAATATACTGTTCCTTGCAGAAAGACTCATTGCTTTTGCTACTAACACTGAGAGGTTGGCCCTTGCATTTCTAATCTGTATGTATCTGATTATTACTAGTCATAATCAGTTGTACTTGGATCCTTGGCACCTGTGTATGTGTGTAAAGTCATCAGTCAGATTTCAATGGTATTGTTTATCACCTCTACTAATTAGCATGACGTAAATTTCCATGCTTCCTCCTCAAATATAATATGTTTTTAAAAACATGTTGATTTTTTTGTATGTCTGTATATCACACAGAACATCCCAAACCATCTCATTCGACTATACACGCACTTCCCAGATAGCACCCTCCCATAGCCTCCCTCCCCCAACTACAGCCCTTTATACTCTGACATCCCTGCTACTGTCTGCTATGTGGTTGGCACCCCAAGCCATTCCCCACTACTTGCCCTTCTGATGAATCCAGTCAGCCTATCCAGAGGTCTTTGATTTAGGAGAGTCAGCTGTTTCTCATCTAGCAGTAATCAATTGTCAATACTCCTTTAGATAAGATTGGGGTCTGCTGTTGATTTTCCCAGTTCTATGCTGGATTATTGTCTGGGAGCCTCTTGGGCCACCTTGGCCAACAACTCAAAGGAAGGTATCTACTGTCTGGCATTGTTTCTTGTTATGTACCTTTAGCTATACACATGGACTCAAGAAATTATATTGGCCCTTTTAATCTTTGGTTATACTTTCCTTTTGGGTGTTTAAGGCCATACAGTTGGTCCAGATAGACCACTTTATTTTTACTCTTAAGGTTGTTGGAGGATCTCTTCCTCAGGGGTCACATGGGCTTGGGAGGAGCCCCTAGCTCCTTTCTTTTACCAGTTCTGCCTATGTGAAGATAAGTCATAGGTCCTACTTGACCATGCTTGGCTTTGCTTGGAAGCATGCAGGAAATGATTCCTCTGTGTTGACCCTCCTATTTGTAGACTGG